ATACAGACACATGATAACTGCAAACATGCGTTTCCAGCCAATCAGTTCATAAATTTATGTGACGTCATAATCACATGATAAGTGCAATCACGTTTTTCCAACCAATCTTCGGTGTTGCTAACTTTTGTTTTTTACAGATTTTTTCGAAAAAGTATATATTTGTAAACAAAAATAATGCACATAAGCAAAAAAAGGTTTTTTTTTTTCTTATTTTGAAAATTTTTTGTCGAATATTTTAATTTCTTTATCCAGTTTCAAATCTGAAATTTCATTAAAATTTTACAAGGAGAGCAACAAGTGTAAATTTAACTTTAGTTTTGAATTCAATGAAAAACATATGATTGTAGTTATCATGTGACCATCACGAATTTAGTCCATTATTAGCTTCGTAGACGGAGGGTCCCAAGTTAGAGTCTCAGTCCCTCGAAGAATCTTTTTTGGGTGAGATTCATTTGTTATTCGCATGTGACAACACTTGAACTAGCACACACCCAACCTCCGAATTTCCACACCACACCTCGCGAGGACATTCAGCTTGATTTGAATTCGATTTACGTCACACTGTGAAGCAACACGAGGGCTACTGGCAACGGACCTTATTAGTGGCGTAACGAAGAATATTAGGGCCCCTGCAAAGTCGGGTATGAGGCCCAAGGATATTACAAAGAATTGTAAGAACAGACTTTGGGGCCCTACAATGGGGATACGTTACGCTAGTGGGCCTTATTATTTTGAACCACGGTCAAGTGACTCTGGCACTCCCTCTCCGAACTTCCATCCCACGACAACGGGTGGACTTTCAGCCGCGACAAATTTCAGGTGCATCAACACTCAACAGAAAGAGCACTCAAGTTACGCCGGTCAAGATGACTCCTTGACCATGACCCCTAGACCACAATGGCCATTAGAAATTGGGAGATATAAGTAATTATTGTTGTTTGGTTCAGTTATACTTTTTACTCTATTACCCATTTTATACTTCACAAAAGTAATATAATTTTAAAAATTCAAAGCACAGACATTTATTCAAATTTGAATACATCTACAATTTTTTCAGACTTCAAAGTATACAAGAAAAGTACACAAAATAACGTCAATTCCGGCGTATAACGCACACCTATACTTTCAAGCTACATTTTTTTTAATTTTTAGGTATATTTGCCGTATAACAGGCACCCCCTTTTACACGAAGAAACATGAAATGTACCTGTTCAATACTCTTACATCTTGAAGTAATTTATTCGAGGTATTATCCCAAGCTTTTGAAAAAGTGATATATTTCTAGAACGACTTTTAAGTTCATTGGGAATATATATATCATTTTTTTAAAAGTAAATTGCATTTCGATTTATGTCGATGTATAATTTTTTTCATGCTCATCACTTTTTTCATTTTTAAATCTGTCACTTTTATACCCGGCATATAACGCACACACGTAAATTTCGATCTTATTTTTTGTGTTAAAAGTGCGCGTTATACGCTGGATTTTACAGTAAGTAAAAAAATTATAATTCTCAAATAATAATAATAATAACAATCCGGAAAACTCTCATTATAAATCTGACATTATCTCGGTTAAATAAAAAATATATTTATCTATTTTATTCTTAATAGAGTTTTATTCAGGAACTGCACCTCCCTCTAAAGCTATTATTCTGAACTACCTTATTTTTCACCTCGTCAGACACAGTAAACAAAAATCCATCTTCTTTCCCACTGATCCAATCTCTTTAACAAGTCTCTCTAAAAACCCTAACTACGAGTCCTTATCGATAAAAATGAAAACCCCTATAGAAAGCGATACCCACTAAAGTATTTTTTATCGAAAGCTATCAACATCACCTCTTAAAATATTGGAGCACTTGCTGTTCATCACCGCTTAGAGTATTATTCGCTAGAATGCTTTCTGAAATACAATCCTCCACATTCAGGAGGAAGAAAATGATGTTTCAAGGTGACCTTCAAGCCAGAGTTTTCAAGGTCAAGGAAGGTGAGAGGTGAAATGAAGAATGCGGAGCGACGAAGGAAAGGAAAAAAAAGAAAGGGGGGTCGCGCTCAGGTGAGAAACCCCTTGGCAGGTGAAAATTCTGGGGGATATCTGTTTCTCTCCCCCCTCACCATTATCGTTTGACCGATTGGGTGTGGTGTCGACGTTTCATATCCTCAATGAAGATTGTTGTGGGTGAATTTAACGCCTGCCTCTTGTATAATGTGATACGAATTTTAATGCTTTTTGTATTTTATCTCTTTTCTGGGGTTATCGCTTGTGATCTTTGAATCGCCAATTAGGTAAAAGATTATGTAAAGGTGAAGATCCTTTTGGCAATGTGTTAATTTTTTTCCCGCACGTGTTACCTCAATTACGTCTTTAAAAGAGATCGAAAAAGCGATGTATTCATGTATGAGGCTGCCATGCAGTATTAAACTTTTGGAGATATAGATTATTTTGAAGGAAAAGTTTTTTTCAAATATATAAAAGAAAAATTTATATATATGAATAATATGTGAATTAGATTATAGATGTGGTATATAAAGTAATTCAGCTATATTTAATATTCTGTTATTTTTAATTTGGTCTTATACAGTAGCATACACAGGAATTTTTCAAGGGGGGGGGGGAGGGAACCCAGGGTCGAAAATCCACTATTCTCGTATCATGCTCCAATACGCCGCCCAACGTATTCTTTTGATTTTGTCAATTTTCTGGACCAAATAACAGTAAAAATTAATTATTTAATGAACAGTTAGCATGAAATTAATAAAATTAATTATTAATAACAAATACTTAATTAAATTTTACGTACTATATACATAAGATTTAATCAATCGAAACAATATCAAGGGCTTTGAAGGGTCTGGATCCGAGGTTCCCCCCCTTGTGTGTGCCACTGGTCTTATATTATATTAATTGGATAATAAATGGATAGCAATATATGCTTAAAGGAGAGTATAAGCTTTCAAACAACTCTCTTAGAAGATTTAAAAATTTTTGAAGAAAAAAATTTTTGTAATTTAAAAAAACAACAACGCAGAACTGGTTGTTTTTATAGAGCTTATTCTACTATTATCAAAAATTATATTAACAAGCGAATTATTAAAGCAGTTTTTATTAGATAATTCATTTGAATACTATTAGTATATATATCTTTTTCCCGTTTATATATTTAACTAGCTAGTATACCCGTTCTTCGCATGAGCGAATTGAAAAATTAAACAATACAGACTGAAGGATAAAGAAGTTTTAAATGAGTTAATTTTACGTGAATTGCAAATTAAACAAAAAAAAGCTTTTTGCGTATATCTCAGCTGAACAAAAAATCGCATTTCTTAAATTTCAAGTCTGTAGGTCTTTATAGGATTTTATAAATCTAAAATATAAAGAAATTAAAGTATAAAGATCTAGTTCAATAATAAAAAAGTATTTCTTCTTTTTTCAAATATCATGTATATATGTTATTTTAAAGAAAAGAAAAAAAACACTGTAGATGAAAACAAAGCAATTATTTTCTATTTATTATCATTCTATTTAAATTCAAAATTATTAATGTTATGGTAATATAATATTTAGCACTTTCTTTGCGAAATATCTGTAACCATAAGTGAACACCATTTAATAAGCAAAGCAAAAAAACTTTTATCTCTGTTTTTATGCAATATCGACTTGTTCTCAAGTAACAAATAATTATGGTAATTTAGTGAAATTGCTTCAATTAAAACAAATAAGGCCTATGGCATTCTTTTACTCTAGTAATTATACTAATTGATCCATTTCCATATTTTTCCACTACCAGCAAATTTTCGAAATATTTATTCGCTAAGAAGTAATTATTTTAAAACTCTATCAGAATTAGTATAGAAATTGGTGTAGAAAAATACTTGTTTAATTAATTAGCCCCTGTTAAGGAAAATTAAAAGTATAAAGAAGAACTCTACACTTTGATTATTTCTCAGTATGCGAAATTCCTCAAACAGTCATCCTTCCAGTTAAGATAAATAAAAAATTAAACTCCATCAACATAGAAGCACACATAATAAACCTCTTTGAAAAATTTCCAAACGCTAAATAGAATTATCTTCAAGTTAAGTTTCTATTTATATCTCCATTATGAAAGAACTGCATCGTTCTCTTCATTATTCTAAACGCCAAGCGATAGTATGACATGCAGTGAAGTGAAACGCAACTGTTACTAAAACATTTTTTCTCTCACTTGGTAAATGGAGAAGACCCAGATGATCCCACAGAAGTGGCTAACAGACTGAAATAGAGATTCCTAACGTAATTACCTGTGGTATCTACAAACCCTTTTACTTAATTATACTCTTTTTCAAAAGGTTAACATTTCACAGAAAAGTTGGATCAAATCCAATTACAAGTTTAGCCACCAGAAGCGAAAACGTTCGATTATACTGTCCCAAAAGACATTCTCCTACCACGAAATGGAAGCTCAGAAAATCTAACGAAATGGAAGCCCCGACAGAAAATCAAATTAAGTCGTCTGTGTGTGCCGTTAGCAGCTTCTGCCGTAGTTACGCAACTCAACTCGTCTCACAAATCGCCGATGAAAGGAATGAATGAAATGTTTGAAAATAGGGAGTGTTGGATAACAAAAATTTTGTGAATAGTTTGATGTTGAATGAGACACTTTTTTGTTTAATCTTTTTTGACTTGAAAATCTAATGTCTTTGTACCAATACCAATTTTAACTGGAACAAGTAACAAAAAAAAATTAAGTCTTTTTACTAAGGTCAACAACGAAAAATCTTATTTTAGTTACTTTATATTAAATAATTACTATTAATATACATATGTATATACATATGACAGAATCACAATGTTAAGTAAACAAAATAGAAAGCGATTTTCCTTGCATTTTTCCTTTTTTCCTTTCTATACAGGGTGTGGACATTTTCGTGTGTTTGGGGTTTTTATTTTATTCAAATTAAATTTGATTATTCTAATAAAATAGTATAGAAAAAAATCACATCCTTAGAAATTAGACCATCCCAGATGGGATTCGAACCCACGACTTTTGGATTAGAAGTCCAAGGCGCTATTCATTGCGGCGGTTCATTAACAAGCGGTTTTCCTTTCTATATATGGTGTTGGACTATTATTTTTTTTTGTTTGTTACTATTTATTCATTCATTAAATTAAATTAATGTATTAATATTTGAAAAAAACTGAATTAACATCAAGTGTCATCCACTACAAGTTTAAAAAATTGTATTTTAACTTGAGTAGATGAATATAAAAAGTATTTTATCAACGACTGAAAATTTGAAGAAGATATATATATAGGGAGAGCGTGAACTAAAAGGAAGGAAATATATATATAATTATAATTTAAAAGCTGTGAAATGAATAAAAACTACACACACACACACATTTGAAGACACTTTTTCAACAAAAACAAATTCACGTATATGTTTTATATATATGTAGGATTTAAAGTATTAGGGAATATAAATATATATTCCGATTAGTGAGGTTACAACCTCACCAACAGATGGCGCTACCAGCATATATATATATATATATATATATATATATGTCTAATTCTCTACAAACAATAGTATAAACAAGAGATAAACATCTATCAATCACTTTCGAAAAACACATAGACAGTAGGAAATACATATATATATTAATTTGAAATACACCGCGGATCAATTTTAACTCGAATATGATATTACATTTTCTAAAAGAAAATAAATGTTTTTTGTGATGATTTTATTTAACAAAGGAAGGTCTGTAAATGCATGTAAACGCAATTAATTCAAGATAGTTTACCTGTATAATAAATAACTTTAAAAAGAGTTGTGAAGGATTTTGAATCATAAAAATAAATGCATCTGCATAAAATTATGTCGATAGTAAAAAAAACAGAAAATGATTGCTGTTTTTAAATATTATACTTTTAATTACACATGACTATAAGTAAGCAATTTATAATTAAAGTAAATTAATAAATATGGCTCAGGACTCTATGCTCTATAAATATAAGATACATTTGAAATTTAATGCACATTTTCTGACAAAATGAATGAGTATTTATTAAAGTCACACTATAAAGCAACACGAAAACTTATGCAGAGAGACCTCGAAATTATGTACCATGGTCAAGTGACGAGGATGACACCTGAGCAGGCACTTCCCTCTCCGAACTTCCACACCTTGCCACGGGAGGAATTAGAGCCTCCACAGATTGATTCTACGTTCATCAGCGTGTCTACACGGTAGGTCTTGAATGCCACTAGGTTCCAACTCACGATATGCTAGCCACAAGTCACCATGACTACTATTTTCAGGCAGAAAAATGCACCGAAATTTCATTATATTTTATAAACAGTGAGTTATGACGGGGATTTACGGAGTTTTTCTACTAATCCTCTTGGGGAATCTTTGGGGCCATCAATTGAGTTGTTTCACTGCTATCCCTCTCAAGAAGAAACCTTGATATGCAGATTAGTTAGTAGATATATAGTGGAGGTTTAGTAATCGAGGAGAAGTAGGAGGAAAGAAAGCTGAGTTGCTGAACGCAGTGCGGTTACGGTAAGGATCTGAATTTAGACGCGCGATTATAGAATGGGCTTTAGCTATTCAAATAAATTAAGGAAGTTAGGTTTCATAGGATAACTTCAAGTAAAGTTAAGTGGTTAGGATTTCAGGCGCTTATTCACATAAGATTTTGTGAGCTACGATATATCACTCTTAATTTTCCCTCTATAGTAAGATTGTCTTTGATTATTATATTTGATAATAATAATTTGGATTTATTATGGCTAGCATGGGTCATCAATCCTTACCTCCTACAAAATCAGGTCGAGTAGATGAAGAGATGGGGCTTCCCCAGGCGGGAGGCTATCACAGAGTGAGTGAGTGAATATTAACGTCGCACTATTCAGCTACTCGAGGGCTTTTGGCGACGGACATCGTAATTTTGAACCTTAGTTAAGTCACACATTAACCGGGAACCCCGCCTCCTAACTTCCACATCACACCAAAGGGAGGACGTTTGAGCCTCAACATATTTAACGTGCATCGCTCCCTACACAGTGAGTCTTCAGCGGCACTAAACTTGTATAAACAATAACCCGAAACAAATAAATATGTTGACTAACAATCGCATAAAGCGGATGGACCGACTGCCACCTTTTGATTGAAGGAGTGATGATGGTGTATGGTGACAGGTCTAGGACGATGGTGACGACATTGACAAATTGTCCGAAATTCCCAGTTTTGGGAGGAATACAACCGGAAATAACATTCAAACGTTGAAATTATTCGAATCGTGATCTTATTAAGGCTGAGCTGAGAACGAGACGAGGCCCCCATTATGACCGAGGCCGTGGTCCTGGACCTAGTTGACCCATGCCTTAAGACGTCCCTGGATATATATTCTAGTTATAGACCATTGTCCAGTGTTAAAAGACTAAATTAACACATAATTTAAAACATTTTGTAAAAGAAGTGAAGTTTATGTTCATTCAATATTTTTTAATTTAAAGAACACAGTGTTATATAATCAAATGAATGTACACAATACTTTTCTACCTGAACATGTGTTCAGAACTCCCAAACATATATTATATATATATATATAATTCTTGGAAATAAACTCTAAAAAAAAAAAAATATAAAAGTTGAATGTGAAAATATACGATTGAGCTATATATATATTAAATATGACATTTTGAAATTTTTCATACATTGATGGTTTGATATACTACTTTATAGTGGAAAAATAATATTTTAACATTGGCAAGGACAACTTGTTATTTTATCATTAGTGATGATAAAATAACATAGCAACAATTTTAAACACAGAATGCAAGTTATGTGTAAAGGCTATACTTAATTCTCCATGTCATCTTTTAGTTAATTCCAACTTTCTGGGGAGAAAGCACAATAAGAGAAAATAAATTGCTGCCAATAGATAGATAGAGCCATAGTATTATAGTTGAGATGAATTGTCTAAGAAATAATACAGTAATATAAATTTTTTATCAACTCCAGTAGCTGTAGTACACTTGATTTTCACTGCTTAATATTCCATCTAAAAAAACGCAATAAACTCATCAATAAGGCTTTAAGTAATACACCACTGTCTCTTAGCTTTTGTTTGAAATGTTTTTTATTCTGATGCACATTATTACTGTGATGTTTTACTCATTAAAATATGGAAGAAACACAACATTGAATCAAATTGTATGGTTCCAACATTATTCTTGTTTTTTATACTGGTATTGATACTGAATGGGAGAAAGATTCAGAAAAACTTTTTTTGAAAACATTCAAATGCATAAAAAGAGTGGTACTCAAAGATAAATCCACAAAGTGAAAAATTGAAAAAATTGTGGATATACTTTTGGATGGAATTCTATACCTTCATTTAATTCAACATGTATAAACGGAGTGAGTGAGTGGGAGTGGGGAGAGAGAGAGGGTTTGTTTTTCTTTTTTGTTACTGGTATTTTTTTTTTTTTTTTATATATAAATTTTTGGGAATTTTACATTTTTGCTGCAAGTTCACATTTTTTTTATCTGAAAATTTAATGGAAATGACACACTAGACACTATTTCTCAAATTAAATTTTTTCTTTTCATTTTCAATTAGGTGAATTGCTGTAGGTATTTATTACTGTAAGAAGTTTTGAAATAAACTTGCGTCTTATTTCTACGTTCCTGCTATTAAATCTTAAAAAGTTTTTCATTTCAGAAAAAAACACCTCCCTTTCAGAATTTTTTTTTCATCAGAAAAAAATCGCCGCATCCATCCCCGAAACCATTATACTTTTTTTGGTTTGAATATTAAATAGAAAAAATATTTTACTGTGTATATATATATATATTGCATATTTAATTCAATGCTTATATGATGTACGATGATGTAATTTTAAAGAGGTACAGAGATAAATAAATTTGAAACTGCATCTTCGCCATCTAACTATTTTATTAAAATGAGTTCTCGTAGATTTTTTTTTCGCTTTCCTATTTTATTTTATCTTTACGAACAATTTTTTTTCACACAAAATAATCTTTGAAAAATATACTAATTCTAGAAGCATATCCGTCTTTTCTATTATTAACGTAACTCATTCAAAAGCTCTAACCTTATCGTTTTTATCCTAAAAGTTATAGCGTTTCACTTAACTACTTTGAATTAAAATGGCGTAAAACAAGCACATCATTAAGCAGTTCATTTATCTGTTTGTAGTTAAAAAAAAATAAGTCGCTGAAATATATTTTGGGCGTCATCGTGTCTGATAATAATGTCGTAACTTTTATTTTTTCGCAATGCTCCCATTAGGATCAGTTAGGACGTCCATTTTGCGATAGGAACATACGCCTTTGGGTGGATTTTAGAATTATCTCCCAAATTTATCGCCGACTTCTTCGTTTTGAAATTCCGTGTTTCGAATTTTACAAAAACATGTCTTTGATTCATTTTAACTGACAGTCATCATCAAATAAGATCGTAAATTTCACTGCACTTCAAGGAAACAAGGAAGAAATGAAGAAGAAGAAAAAAAAGAAAGAATAAGATTTTTTTTTAAATAGAAACGATTTTAAAAAGTAAAAAAATAGTACTTGTGTTTTGTATGTATAGCAGAGTAGCGCGGATAGCAGTTATTCTCCAGATTACACTGCATTATGTGATTAAATATGCTTAGAGTAAATAAAAAATATTTTTCAGTAAACAAGTTAAATCATTTGACTTATTTTAGATTTAATTTATAATAATAAATAATAATTAAATAAAAATTAAAGTATGGTACTTGTTGTTTATGATGTTCGTAAAACTGAAGAATATACGAGGGGCACAAGGCGAAAAACTGTTAAAGATACTTTTCGTCTTTAATTAGAATACAAACAGGAAAACAGAATTCACAGTGAGTGAACGTTTACTCGCGTCGCAATATAAACCAACACGAGGGCATCTCGTAGAATGTATAAGGGAACCCAGCTTCCCCAAGAGGGGTTTAGAGCTACAAACCGTTCCCCCGGAGAAACAACCACCCTTGCGTCCAGTCTTTATTGAACAAATTATTGTTTTCATTTTGTAC